CGAGTCAAAGGCTTTTCTAAAATCAAAAGATAAAACCCTTACAAACTCGGCATCTTCGTCCAACCATTTCAGCCAATGATGTTGACATTTAATAAGGGCTGACGTTGTATTTGTTCCTTTTTTATAGGCAAACTGATCATGGCCAATGATTAACTTAGAGTGTTCTAAACTCTCTTCCCTAAAAACAATTTTCTCAAAAAGTCTCATGATGATATTAGTCAATGATATGGGTCTTAGCTGGCTGCAGTCTGATAATGTTGACTCTTTTTGTATTGGGCTAATATTTGCGAGTTTCCAAAGCGAGGGAACGTGCTGTTCATGCAAGGAAAGATTTAATACTTTAGTAAGTACAGGTGCAAGATAGTGAGCGTAGTCTTTCCACAGCCAGTATGGAAGTCCATCAGGGCCTGGTGAAGTTCGTTTTTGTTCTATCATGAACGTTTCAACTGTTTGTATATCAACCTTCGGGATTCGAATTTCTTGGGAGATTGTTAAGGGTTGTGGTGGTGTATACTGAGTGTCCGTATTTACGCTTTGAAAATAGGTGTTAATAGTATTTGGATCGATGGAGGAACTAATGTTATGGGATTTTATACTTCTGCCCGTGATTTTATTGACAGTATTCCACCAACCTTTCGCCCCTTGTTTATACTTTTTATTATCATTCGACACAGCACGAATTTGATTATCTCGAATAAGTTTATTTATTCTCTCCTGAAGTTCAGTGTTGGCTCCTCTACTTATTTGTTTGTTTCGTATTTTACATAACTGTTTCACTAATGGGGACATATAAGGTGGGTCAAGTGAGGAAGTTTTAATCTTGATTAGAGGAAAACTCTCGTTGAACATTAAAACAATTTCTTGGTTCAGGAGCAACACTGCTTCCTCAGCATCATTAGCACTATTGACTTTACTCCAGTCGAAAACTTTTAATTTATTCTCAATAACAATCTTTCGGTGGTGCCTAACATCTCTAAAGTAGACATGTTTTCGTTCGGATCTAGCTTGGTGCCTTGGTGTGACCATAACCGCCAAATGATCGGACCTAACTAGACCTTTGAATACAGTGGGTTGTTTCCACAAGTGAGGGCAATTCGTCAAAAATACGTCCAATATTCTAGGACCTCTGGTAGACTTTTTGACCAGTTGTTTTAGGTTATGTTGGTTACAAAGATCTTGTATCCTTAGTTGGTTTATGTCACCAGCGATAATTAACCTAGCGTTAGGTTCAGTGAGTAAAATCTGCTCGCAACTGTCCGACAAATGATCTAGAAATTCGGATTCAGAGTACTCTGGGTCAGGTGGGTAATAAACTCCTCCAATGTGATATTTGCTATTTTTTGTCTGAATTTCGCACCACAAGCATTCGAAGTTATTTTGCAAAGCAAGTTTTTTAACTTTCCAATCACTTCGGCAAATAATTGCAACACCACCACCATGTCGACACGCACTGCGATCTTTTCTCACAAAAGTATAACCGCTAGGACAAATAAGACTGGACTGTATTTTCTCTATGAGCCACGTCTCAGATATTATGCAAATGTCAACATTGTTTGTATTCAATTCAGCATTAAGTGCCGGCGCAGCATCTGGTTTGGCAAGTGATCTAGCGTTAATTACCAAACATTTAGGTATAATCTTGGAGACGGGGGGGCCTGGTTTTAAAATTTTCACTTGTATCAAGTTGGTGTTACGCTTACGCCTATCTCCCCTCTTATTTGTAATTAGCGCATTCCGCATCGTTCTGCCGTTTCGGTAGGAAGTTCTCACTGGTATTTGACGAGCCATTGACATGGGAGAGGACTCAAGGGAAATACATGGAGTGGAGCTCTGTTTAGAAGGATTTAGTAAAATCTGTTTTGGTGGATCTGGGAGGATAATCGGGGAAAACTGGACGAGGGTAGTGGGATTTCCATTAACGGCCTTGGATAAGATGAGGGTCGCCATGGGTGTAGGCTGCACGTTTGGAGCTGCTGAGGTTGGGCTGTGTGGACGTTTGGTGGCAATGGCACTTGCGCTCGGGATAAAAAAGAGGCAGGTGGCAAATGGCTACTAGTAGTGGTTTTTAATACCGACCTTCTGGTTGGTACCCAAGCGTGGGAGAAATCACATCGATCGTCTTTCAGACAGAAGCCTCTGTTCTGCAAAAAAGGACAGGGGACATTATGTTTATGTGTATTGCGAGATGGTTTAAGATGCTGAAAGTCGCATCGGTCTCCCTTTCGACACCAACATCGACGCAGAAGAAATGGACAAGGAGTGGAATTCTTTAGGGGGCGGTCGTAACGATTCTTATTCGTCTGCTGGGTTCGCGGTTGCAAGGTCAAATTTTCATAAGTACAGTAGGTACCCTAACTGCTGGATTGGACTGCATATTAGGCACATTACTTTCCGGTAGTCGGTCTTCGTTGGCCTTTTTCTTAGTGCTTATGGGGACGTACTGCGTTGTAGGCGTGACACAAGATATTTCAATAGCACCAGGGAATTTTTCTATGGAGGCCGAAGCCATCTTTCCTTGTAATTTGGAGATACGTGATTTGAGATGCAAATTTTCTTCACTCAATTTGCATATATCTTGCTTATTTATGTTGATAGTTTCGTCTTGCTTGGCGAGTTTAGCCAATAAATTTGATATTTCATATTCAACCTTCTCTTTAAAATTGTCAAATAATGCATTTTTTATAGTGGCGCTGTCGCTCTCGCGTTGTTTAAAGGGGGTAGAATTTACAAATACTTGTTCCACAGTACCCTTCGTTACTTCACTGTGTCGGGAGTTCATAATATTACAAAATGAATCGTCAATAAAATTCTCAAGCTCCGCAAGCGACGAATTATCAATAGGTGATATTATATCTATTTTGGCGACAGGAATCTCGGCTCCATAATCATTATTCTCGGTTGTTAGGTTGCTTACTTCGCTTATATCACCGGTGCAAGTTATTACTGAGACTTCGGCAGACTGTACGCCTGTGTCACTCTGATGGGGCAACATAAGTTCACTATTTAGGCTTACCAGTAATTCCTTTAAAGACTCCCCTTCGCTACCTTGGACAACTAATGTTCGTTGTTTGCCGCGATACCAAGTTATTGTCAGATCTGAGTTGCTTATAAACTTCTTAGAGTTCCCGCCAGGTGAAATCTATTTACCGCCCAAACCAACGGTATTTTGAATAAAACTCTCCAGTTCATCATAGTTGCCGTTCCACTTTAAACGTTTCCCATCATAGACAAGAGTGTTGTTGTTTTTATACGTTCGAATATCGTCCAAATTCACATTTCCAACATTAAATTTAGTATTGGGAATATCTATGGAGCTAACCTTAGCATGACCATCCGCCATCATGGCTAGATTCCAGTGTCTTAGCATAATTAATGAATAGCTACTCTGAATATATTACATAACACTACGTCTCTGTTCGCAACAATATTATTTCTATATGTTTGGTCAAGTTTACGGAAATTTGGGTTTGTTCATGATTAATATGGAACTGTAGGATCAACTATTGGACATTTCCGTCATAGAATCTGAGGTACTGTAGTTCCGATGTGTAAAGTTACGCCAAAGTTCTACTTGTATACAATTGTCTAGTTTTCGAATGTTCACATACCTTTATGGCCTTCTTAATAATGCAATGGATTGAAAAAATTGGTTACTAAAAAACGAAGCCAATAACCTCAAATAAAAAAAACGCTCAAAATTAAGTCAAATTGCTATATTTTCTCACCACAAGTCTCTTTTCTAATTAACCGCAAATTTTAGCACAATTAAAATGGCGTCAATAATTATGGCGTCAGCAGAGGTTAAACACGTTTGCTCAAATGTATCGAAGTTCCATCCACTCGTGCGGGCTTGTATTGTGAGAAGATATCTTACACAAAATTGTCCAGTTCTGTGAAAATGCAAAAAAAATATGAAAATGCTATTCTGCTTCCTATTCCTGTGTTACTTAGCCACGCAATATACTCCGGAAATAAAGCGTGCAGAACAGATTAAGGAAACAATCCCCCCCCCGAATATCGAGCCCACCAGGAGAGTTATATTCCAGCCACCACACGAGATCTCACATCTGAATGTGATTCTTGGGGGATCAGCAACTATCTCGACGTGGCTAACTTGGTTTTTCTATATATGGTCTTATATCCCAATGTTCAAAGCAAAATACACGAAGAATTGGACCGAGTCGTGTGATTGTCAACCGAACTGGAAAGATGCGAAAAGCTTCCCATATCTTCAAGCTACCTTATGTGAAGTCGGAAGGATACCACATGTTGCACCTCTCTCTCGTCGGAGCAAACGCGATTCGTGACACAACCATCGCTGGTTACCCCATTCCAAAAGGAACATTTGTTGGCCCGAATCTTCCGAATGTGCATGAGGATGAACGAGAATGGCCAGAATCAGATAAATTTAAACCTAAAAGATTTCTGGATGAGGATGGCAAGTTCGTCGGCTGGAATAAACTGCATGGATTCATGCCGTTTAACGTTGGTCGTAGAGAATGCCCTGGTCAAACATTGGCGGGGATAATGATGTTTTCTTTTTCTTCAATGTTATTACATTATTACAAATTTGAATTGCCTGAAGGAGCAGAGACGCCAATTACTAAAGTGTCCCGCAAATCTTCTCTGTACCAGATAATTTTATAGTTGTTGCAAAGCCGCCAGAGTCGAAGTGCATGACTGAAGACAAATCTTTCATAATTTTTTTATTGTTTTGTTTTTGTAATATTAATAATAATACAAGCAGAAATGGTAATTTTAATGGATTTGTTCCACTTAAAGTGCATACGTCACGCTAAACTATAGTATAAATTAACCTTGTCATAAAAATGTTTTTCACCCTTATTCTTTTATGAGTATCCCACCGGGCACACGACGTTGTTTCAACGTTGAAATTTGGTAGAAAAAAGGTTGCGACGTCGACAACCTAATATCTACGTTGCTCTGACGTTGTTTTACAAACATTGGTTCAACACAGTCAACAGACGTTGAATTAACGTTCATTCATGGTTAAATGTACGACGTCGATTTGTGAACCAATCTCAACGTTGTTTTAACGTGGATTCAACGTTGAATTATGGTTGACGAGATTGGCAACCTAATTTCAACGTTGTTTCAACGTCGAAACAGTAACGTCGATCCAATTTGCATAGTTAACCCTTTTTCAACGTCTATCCAACGTCTGGAAGGTCATTTCCAACGTTGATTCAACGTTGGATAAACGTCATTTTGCCCGCTGGGATGCTTGTCTTAGAAATTGAGAAAGCTTGTTATGAAGATTTGATATTTCAAAATATATTGTTGATTGTCATACGTATATACCAATAAACGGAATAATATTAGTCGAGTAGTTGGTAAGAAGTTATCGGAAGCATAGAACTGGGTGCCCGGTTCTTACAGAGACAGCCTCTTAAGTTCAATATATCAACTTTAGCTACATTTAATAATTTAAAGTTTATTTACGTATTTCTGAAACAAAAAGTTTCCTTTTTCCAATCCAAAGATAAAAATCTTTGGATTGGAAAAAGGAAACTTTTTGTTTCAGAAATACGTAAATAAACTTTAAATTATTAAATGTAGCTAAAGTTGATATATTGAACTTTAAAAGCATTTTTACTCAATCCCAGTAGAAATACATACATTAAATCACTCCGCTGTCATTACCCGTCGATTCCCCAGTCATTCTTTTTCCACGACTTTCGGCAGAGCGATGACCGACTCTTTTCATATATGAGTCCATATACATATATATATATATATATATATATATACATATATATATATATATATATATATATATATATATATATATATATATATATATATATATATATATATATATATATACTAATAACTTACTGACCGAGAGTGAGGGCAGTACGGGAAAATATCCAACCGAGGTCTTGCTGTATTGACCGAGCGATAGCGAGGTCAATACAGCAAGACCGAGGTTGGATATTTTCCCGTACTGCCCGAACGGTTGAGGTCGGTAAGTTTTATATTATATGGCATTGTACGTTTGTAAAAAATGGGTAAAAAAGGTCACGCGAGGGCAAAGTACGAAACATTTGTAAAAAATGTTCTCAAGCTTGGTTAGTAAAACTACTCTACAGCAATTTTTATATAGAATACTAACACAGTTGGATAGTATTTCAAGAAAAATACGAGGTATTTCGTCATTTAATCAAAGACAAAGACAACAAATATGAAAACAATAAAATTAATAAACAGTATGGACAAGTACGGTTTTAGTTCGCTTCATCTCATAAATATATCTCTTTTTATCGAAAAACCACAGAAATTTTCAGGGAAAAAATATAAATCTGTGGCTGCTTTAGTTGTATTTTTTATTTAGGATGGTGTCAAATTCCTCGGCTATCTGCAAATAAGATTTGCAGCTCTTCACAAAGTCAAAACACAGCTATTCCTGACTTCTTTAATAGTTATAAACATTGTAAAATTTACCTTGTAATTTCGACTTTCGCTAACAAAAACATATTGAGAAAGTTCTTTATCCAAAGAAGGTGCTCCTTTTCTTTAGTTTAGGTTTATTTTTCTTCGTTTTGAATAGTTTTGAAAGACTTTTAGACACTTTTTGCCGTTTGAAACTCGGCTCTTGTCGCGGGGCAAAAAAATTGCGTATTGCCCGTGGGCAATACGGGAAAATCTTGCCTCGTCAGCAGCCAATAAAATTGCGCGATTCATCAAAACAAAAGCTTGCCGTATAATAAACATATGTTATTTACCGGCTGCGAGGTCCGGATGAGAAAAACTGTGCCCGAGGTCTTGAAAACGGCCCGAGCCCGAAGGGCGAGGGACGTTTTCAAGACCGAGGGCACAGTTTTTCTCATCCGGACCGACGCTGCCGGTAAATAACGTGTTTATTTTTTATCAGATGTAAAAATTAAATTCATTAAAATTCCGGTGTTGCTTGCGAACTAATTGAGATCAGTGCAGTTGTGTATTTTCAAAGCGAGGCTGACAAAAATTGAAAAGTTGAAAGATATAAAACACGAATACGAAAACTCGAGAAAATTGGCAAGAAACACACAAAAAGACGTACAGTTTCAGTAAAAATGTACATGCTTTTTTCATAAATATGATAGCAGGGAAGCTTTGGAATAAAAAACTTTTATGCCTGCCGTTTTGGCTTTGGCTTTGACAAAATCAGTTGCTCCTGAGTCCTGACAACGACAGGTTCATGTTCATGTTCAGTACCGATCAAAAACATATAAAAATGAATCTGTTTTGATTTAATCATCGTTTTTCTACTAAAAGGACAATGAAAAAGGTATGTTGTTTTTATATTTTTGTATTTTTTCTTCTCGTCTCAGGATAATATGCTTGAAAAAAGTGTTTTTAAACACAAACTTTTACTTTGTTTACAATATTTATATCAGTGAAAAATGCATGACACAAATGGGTAGAGAATATATTCGTGACTTGTTTTTACTGCTGCAGTTAAACCTTCTTTTAAATGGGAAAACATTTATTTTACAATTTCTGTTTAAGCTGTAATTTTTTCGCTTTTAAGTGGCCGAATACATGAGCATTTAAAAAATATATAGTTTTCTCGACGTAAGTTTTATTCATGTCAAATATAAACTTTCCGACTTTCAGTCACATTTCTATCAAAATATTGTCAATTCTGGTGAACATCGTGCTTAGTATGAAATCTTTATGGCTTGATGCAATTCATTTTTGTATTCTGACTATCATTAGGCTATGTTTTTCAAACGTTTTTGGCAGATTTTTTCGTTTAAAAATTGTTTCACTCCTCGGTTTTTGGCGCGAAATCCAGAGCGGGCAGTTGCATTTCACAGCGGGCAGTTGCGTTTCAGAGCGGGCCGGATGCAAAAAACCGGCCCGCTCTGAAAGGCTCCTCAGCCAATCAGATTGCTTCATTTTCACTGATAAAAAATAAACGTCTATCTATCTATATCTTTCCATGGGAACAGGTATATTGTCAATATACATAAGAATGTTATTACTGCATTCCCTAATATTATAAACATTAAAACTTTAACTTTTTTTTTTTTTTTAAATTTTAAAAATGGAGTACAGTGAAGGTAAGCAGAGGATAGGTGGGTGGGTGGGAAAATCTTTCGATAATGTTACTCTGTCGACATCTCAGAGTAAATTACGTTATTTTGCATGAACTCGTGCATGTTATGTGCCAATTAGGATGGGCTGTGTTGTGCCCTATGATTGGTCAAAGCCCAGAACAGAGTCGTACAAGGTTTTCAATTGGTTCACAGTGTGTTTCACGGTTTGTTCACGTGAATGTGTGCTAGCTGGCAGAAGATGATCTTTGACCTATCTGTCAAGACCTTTGACCTAACTGTCAAAGATTAGGTTGATATAAACTATATCTACCTCCTCATCTTACCATCACACCTTGTCTCATTAACTTAAATTTATATAGGCTATAAATTTGCTTTAATGACTCAAGTTGTTGATTTTTCCTCCACTTTCTTGACAAACACAATATTAAACACGATTATTTATTTTTGTGGGAGAGGGGTTCGGGGTTGTGAAGAGTCCATTTACAGTATATGACAAGCATCATGCCTACTCATATGTCACACCCTATTAGCTGCACAGATTCTGAACTGGCTGCTGATAATCTGACCAAGATTCACTTGGACAGTCCTAACCTGACCAACTGGAGCACGAAACCCCAGTATGGAGTCTATGGACAGTCCTTACCCTGACCAATCGGAGCGCAAAACCCCTATGGACAGTCCTTAACCTGACCAAAGGCACTAAACCCATATGGCCAGTCCTTAACCTGAACATGGGGGGTAAACCTCCATGGACAGTCCTTAGATTTAGATATATTATGTGTGACATATATTGAGTCTATGGGCCTGAAGTTGACATTTTATGGAGACTTCATCCCCACAAATACACAGAATGTGTATTCCCCATAGACGAACCCTCCCCCCGAAACATTGATAGTTCTTTAGCGGTTAGCACATCTGTCAAAGTGGCTGATACCCCAGATAGAGTTGCAAGACAGCTGCTGCCAGATGAAAGTTTGACATATATTTGAGCGTTACCATCACTCATACTATAGCTGGATAGTCAGGGAGGCCAGAAAAAACCTGGAATATACAGGAAACCTGGATGGGGCCAAGACAACCAGCAGCTTCCCCACAAAGCTTCTATCTTACAATTCTTAATTGGAGGGTTGGTAACACGACAAACAAAGCTCACCATCAAGGCACATAATTATTTATTTTATTTATTTATTTTTAAATGTAAATGTGTTCATTAAGACGTGTTCATTAAGATTTTGTTAACCACTCTTATTTTATTTCAATTATGATTGGTGGAACTTTCCTGAGTTGTGTGACATTACTCTCAGAAAAATAGCTTGTTCATTAGTTTAATTCGAAATAGCAGGGCCAAAATGCAATTCAGGTGCTTATAACCGGTGTTGTGATCGAACATCCAATCATGCATCCATGATATTAGCAGAAATTGTAAAATATGTATTTGGTAGATTAAATATATCATGCAGTTAAATGATAGTACATCAACGGATTTTCAATTTTCATGAGCGTAGGCATGCATGGTAATGTTAGTGACGTACCAATCTTTCATGATATCCATCTTGCCGACTTATCGCAAATGTAGATAAATATATATGTGCAGAGTTTGAAATCTTAAATTTCGTTAACAAATGAGCTTGCTTTCTTATGTTTTGAACAGTAAAGTATTGACAATGTTGCAGGTCCAATTAATGTTAGGTTTTGTTAGTTGACCTGCATCTAGGGACGCAAAGCCTCATTAATATCATTAACTCGACGAAAGACACGCAAAATCACTGTTTCTTATTGGCTGTCTTAACGCAAAATAGCAAGATTCGATTGGCTGTTGCATACATTTCTTGTATGCTAAATATGTTGTCCTGAGTTATTCGCTTTGTAATTTCCATGGTCATGAAATATAGGTAATAGATCATTAATATATGCAGATAGTCATTTTGACAGATTATGCTCGCAACCCACTGTTAATCTGCCCAATGGAATTTGTCTTTAGTCTTTACTATTAGTACAAAGAACAATTTGTATAGATAGAAAACCTATACTCCTATACTCGGGCTGCGTGCCAGTCAAAATTGTACATTTCGCAAAGCATAATTCGTTCAGCTGGACAAATTAATTTTCGGGCTTGTCTGATTGCCACTCTTGGTCTTGGAGGCATGGCTCAAATTGTTTGTTATAGTGTGTTTGCAGTCTGTACTGTACTACAAAAGTTCACATATAATTAAGTTATGCGTATATGAACTAAGTCTAGTGACATTAAAAATAGGCCTACTATATATCCCAACAGTATATCCAGTATTGTGAGTTGCGGCATTGTGAAATGTACGCATTAAACTTTTGTGGCTTAAACGAAACCGCAGTTATAGCTTACTCGCCGCTTTGCCTTTAATTAAGGCTTTGGCCTGAAAGGAGTGAACGAGTTATGACACTGAGATGCATAAGAGTTCGCTTGTATATCTATTCGATCATTCTTTAGTAGACGGTTCTGTTCATATATTCATGCAAATTCTACCAAATTTGTTTCATGCAACGTGTAAAGCGAATGGAATTTTTTTGTCCTGGTACAACGTACGTTTGAACATTAATTTTATGTACGTCGAATTGTGACATGTCCTTTTAAATCTTGTAGTACGGTAATTACTTCAAAGTGGAATGATCTATACTTTTAAGATCAGTTAATAACAACATAATTATATATCTTTATCTGCTATTTCCGCGAACCCATGTATTACTCTCTATATATTGAATAATATAATTATCTTCATCTGTACCTAACAGTAAAATCTACACTTAGGTCGCTATTATGCACCTTATTAGCACATATCCTTTATGTAACCAATCAAACTTGAGATTTTTGGCTATGCAAATTTTATAACTGAATGCAGTATAAGCTCGTTTACGTCCTTAGATGCAGGTGAACTATTAACATGCGCTCTGAAAAAGAAGTTTATAAGTCCACTTTTGAACGATTGAATACAGTTCAACGTAAGACCTGATTGAAAACCCAATCCAACGCCGAATCTGAGGCGTAATCTGAAGTCTAATCAGCGGCTAACCTCAAGGTGGTAATATGTCATTGGAATTTTTGATCGAGAAATAATACACCAGAATGTAAATGACGTTATAAAATAGACGAATTTAGTAGATTTTTGGTTGGTTTGGGAAGCGCAATACGAAATCAGAGGCCCAATATAACCTCAAGGTGATATTAATATTAAAAAATTAACATTGAAATACAGATGAGATCGATTTGCGTGAATAGTCGATACATTTGGCGCTCGACAATTACTATATATACCCAAATTCTGTGATAAAATAGACGAAGTTAAAGCATTTTGGTTGGTTTGAAAAGCGTAAATTAATACGAAACAGACGTGTGAATTCGCCGCAACTTTTAAATATACGCACCAAATATATCCGTTTCACTTAAGCATGTACGCTAGTTGAATATTTCGTGTTTATGTAGCCTCTCGATCTTGTTATAATTCCCCCAGCGTTAAATGGAAATAACATCATCGGTATTTGAGCCAACGTATTCATTAGGCCACCAGAAGAGTTAAAGCACTTGACCACGGTAGAGTTATATTGGATAAACAGCATAAACTGCGTCTCACTGGATCGTACATCGATACTTGAGCCAACGTATTCTTTTGTCCACCAGACGAGTACAAGTCCTTGCCCGTGGGCCGTGGCAGAGTTATGTTTGAATAAACTACGTCTCACTGAATCACATATCGGTACTTGAGCCAACATATTCCTTTGTCCACCAGAAGAGTAAAAAGCGCTTGCCCGCGGTAGAGTTATATTTTGAAAATCTTTCGATAATGTTACTCTGTCGACATCTCAGAGTAAATTACGTTATTTTGCATGAACTCGTGCATGTTATGTGCCAATTAGGATGGGCTGTGTTGTGCCCTATGATTGGTCAAAGCCCAGAACAGAGTCGTACAAGGTTTTCAATTGGTTCACAGTGTGTTTCACGGTTTGTTCACGTGAATGTGTGCTAACTGGCAGAAGATGATCTTTGACCTATCTGTCAAGACCTTTGACCTAACTGTCAAAGATTAGGTTGATATAAACCATATCTACCTCCTCATCTTACCATCACACCTTGTCTCATTAACTTAAATTTATATAGGCTATAAATTTGCTTACAAACAAATATTAGCGCGCTATAAAACACGATATATATACGCGCGTATCATAATTCGCGTATTAATTCCAATACATGCAGTACTGGACTAGAGATGTGATACCGTGATAAAAGTACAGATTTGAAGATGCAGGCTCGTAGATGACACTCTATAAGTAGTGTTTTTGATAGCGATTGGAACAAGACTATTACAAAGAAGTTACGTCCGAAGGGGCCGCAGTTATGTTCGGCGAAAGGTATGGCTAGTCTATATTTTTGCTCAGACAATTACGTAATCTGATAATATACGAAGTCGCTTGACTTTCAAAGCTCATAAATCGCTATAATGTTGACATCAACTAAAACTATTGCTATGAATGAGGACATATTGTTACACTGAATCGAACGTGGTATTTTTGTCCTCATAGCATTGAATGAACCAAAGATATGAAACGTCGAAACCGTATATTTGCACTGGTGCAATACGTGAGTCCAGTGTGGAAAGTTTGTATCGCGCGGCAGATATTTCTGGCGCTCAATTTTTATGCTTTCTATATATTTACTATTAAATTTTCGAAATTTCCGGCGCACAATTTCAAAACTTCCCAGTCTGGACGTGACTTTGACAAATAAATACATTAAGATGGGCGGAACCATGCGTTCAGTGGGCGGAACTCGGAATGTATAGTTTGTGGGCAGGCGGTACGTATTTCTATCTTCCCGTTTTCTCGTGCCCGCGAATACCGCCTGCTACGCAGGCTACTTTTTAACAGGCTTACTTTAACAGTTTTTAACAGGCTTACTCAGTTATTAAAGTATATAATTCACTCAACAACATACATGCTTGCAAGGAAAGCACTGTTTTAAATAGTTAGTAAACGTTTAAACATGATTAAAAATGATTAAAAACGATAGTAAACATGATTAAAAACCTCGCAAGGAAATAATTTTTTAAAAGGACAAAGAAAAATTAAAATATCTTACCTTTGAAAACAGTCAAAGAGATACAACGTATGCTGTATTATGCTTTGTGCTTTAGGTCTTTCGTTTCTAAGTTAGCAAGCGTTGCCTTTTTTGTGACGTTTCTTTGGCGTTTTCGGACGTTTTCCAACTTTTTTTCAATATTAAATATTGTTTGTATTTTGTCTTTTAAACTCCCGCGCAATCCACGCCACCCGCGTGACAATTCCACGTGTTTCTATCGAGTTATGGAAACACGGGTTTTTTGAGCTTTCGACCAATCAGCGACCGTGTTTTTAAAAGGCTATTTTATAAATTGTTTTAATTTTTTTACATGTAATGTTTTTCATGTTTCCCTCGCTACTCTGGTTTAAATAAATGATTACAAAGCCCAGTCGAATTGTAATCAAGACCCAACGTTTCGACACTCCAGTCTAGTGTCTT